AAGTATATATATATATATATATATATATATATATATACCTCAGTATGGGCACCATAGTGACATAAAAAATAATCTAATCGTGGCAATTCCAAGTTGAATATTATTGCTCTACATCGTAACTCATATCCACGTACCATATTACATTTCCCTCGCATCGAGTATTTGGTTTTTTTGTGGCTGTTTTTGTTGCTTCCTCCCCTCCAAAAAGCGTCGACCTCGAGCTGCCTTCAGTATATCATTCTTGAGATTCAGTACCTTCTCTATAGCCTCAACGTTCGAAATCGGCTCTGCCTCTCCATCTGCAACCAGCTGTGGTCGGGCGTGGATGATCTCCGTCACTGTTTTAAACTCTTCCTCTGTCTTGTTGATGTCATTTTGTAGCAAAAAGCAGCTGCCCAAACTCAAGGGCAAGCATGGATCCCATTTCAATTTCCTCGATTTGTCTGACATAAGAAACTGAAAATCCTGAATAGCACCATGAAGAAGTTCCTCTTCATGCTTCCGACGAGCTGCCGCCTCGACTTCTAAATTTACCTCTTCCTCGACTTTTTCGACAGATTTTGGAATTGATATTGCCCCAGAGTTGGCTTCAACATTTTCTTCTTCGGCTTTAGCCTCACCATTTATTACAACGCCATCTTTTTCCCAACTACGCTCTACCATGCGCAGCGCAAGACAACCTCGACGCAAATACGCCTGCTCATAATCTTCCTTTATCTTTACAGCAGATGAATAGGCTTTCAATGCCTCTTCTAGCAAGCCTTGATCTTCGTACGTTCTTCCTAGATTTGCCCAGGCATAATAATTCGCTTCATTGAGGCGAATCGCCGTTTGAAAATCACGGACGCATTGACTAAAATCTGCGGAAAGTAGGCGCAATCCAGGCACGCGGGTATTTAAAGTGCAGAGCCCTCTAAGGTTATAAAGGTGATCATTTTCAGGTTCAAGGTGAATGACAGCTGTATAATTTTCAAAGGCTAGTGACCACTTTTGCAGCGCTTCGTAGCAGCCTGCCCGTCCCTCAATGGCCCTAGCATTGGTGGGGTCTCTCCCTAAGCATTGAGTGTAGTACTCAATTGCTTTATCAAATTCCCCTTGCCCACGATAACACTCTCCCATAAGAAAGTAGGCATTTGCGTTTTCATCATAAATTTCTATCGCCGCTTCGAGAGCAACGATAGCTTTTGCATAGTGTGGTACTGCATTGCGACCGATTGGTTCAAGTAAAGCTTGTCCTTCTTCAAGTTTGCATTGAGACGCCTTTATTTTGGCTTCTAGTAATTTCCTTTCGCTCCGTTCAAGAGCCTTACGAGATTTTTTTGATTTCAATCGTGGTGGCATATATATTGCACTTTTTTATATAAAAAAAAAGCGGAAAAAGAATCTCCACAGCAATATGAAAAAGGACATCATGCATCACAAATAACTGGAGCTACACGTCATTAAGGATTTTAAAAAAAAAGTGGGGGAAACCCTGGTCGTACATAGAATTTCAAAAAGCTTTTTCGTCTTCTTTTTTATCCCGTTTTTCTTCATAGGGAGGGGCTGTAGTAAAGATTCTACCTACCTTTCGTTTGCTTTTTCCAGAACAAAATAATAATAATAATAATAATAATAATAATAATAATAATATATTCAAAAACGAAAAGGCAACCACAACACACTAAAAGGAAAAAAAACGCGCTACATGTTATCTCCCTTCGTCATTGCTATTATTAGCTTTGTGCGACACATTTACTTGTGGACTGCCGTCTTTACGGAATGCAAAGGCTCTCATGGCCCACAAATAGTCCTTTTCACTCTTGGAAAATTTCTTTGTAAAATTTGGATCATTATCGAGAATCTCTAAAAAGGTCAAACATGCCTCAGGAACTACACTGAGTCTATATTCTTGTGCAACGGCAACCAAAAAATCGATCGATATCACATTCATTTTCTTCTTGGGTTCATCTTGAATGGAAAGAAAAAAATGATGCCCATTTCGTGGCCGAAAATCATCACTCCACTCAAGTGTAAACAAGTCATTGGTGATTTCACCTTTTTCGTATATTGTACTAATATCAAAAAAACATCCAAGAAACATCCCTTGAGGAACCAGCGTGTTGGCTATACTACCTATTAAGTGGCGTATTTTTTTCTCTGTGTCAAAGGCATGATGAAATCCAGCAAATATTGTAATCGTATGAAATTGTCGAGAATGAATCTTTGTGATATGATGCGTCCACAAATCCGGGGAAAAGGCGTCCGCACATATAACATCGTATTTTGACATATCCGGTATTTCATCTTGGAGTGAAGAAATAAGTTCTGTCATGGCTTCTACTACACTGGATTTCAAATCAAAGCCAATATAACAAGTCGACTTATTTTTTATCCATTTGCGTGTAACGGCTCCCCCACAGCAAAGCTCAAGCACATCATTAGTAGGAGCCCTGGGATTAATAACATCGATCAATAATGAAATACATCGTGTTAAAACCTGAGTTGGGAAGGAAGCATTTGGTGGAGGAGGAACCACGTATCCAACTTCCGCATTTACGTTTTTAGAATAAAAAATGCCCCAACAATTATCACAATAAAACCGTTTACTGCAAACGTCAATCTTTCCCATACAACAAAGACGTCCGCAATATAAACAGTCCCCATGGCCTGTTTCTTCCCAACATTTTTGGCACCAGTACATTTGATGTCTGGGGTTAGTTTTTCCGACATCACTAACAGTCTGGCAACGTCCACACTTAAAAGAGTGGGCCTTGAGTAACCATGACATTTCTTCATATGTTAATCCTGGAATATGAACCAATTTTTCCACAAAATCATAAGAATCAGCCCATTTTCCTTGGGTTGCATCATAATCCTTAATTATTTCCCACCAGTGTGCCCCATCATCACTTCTCCGAAGTAAACATTCAACCACAAAGCCACTCTCAAGAAGACGATGAGCATCTAGCGAATAGTCTGCATACTCCTCATTGTAAAAAACACACTCTTTATCTTTTTTCCTCACTTGTAACCACGCACGCTTTATTTCACCATTTGTGTCAGGAACTTCCTCTATTTTACCAACAAGAAATCGAGCTGTTATCGATTCTGGAGGAACCCAACTATATAACAAAGTCTTTTTGCCTTCATTCTGAGTAAGCTGAGGAACGAAAACCAATCCCAAAGTTGGGTGTTCCAAAGGTGGATGCTTCAGCACTTGCTCTGTTTTATCAAAACGTGCATAAGATGTGCGAAGAATGACAACCTGATCTCTATTTGCATGAGGCCTACTAAGCTGATCATCCAATAACATTTTTTCAACATACTGCCATCTTTCAGGAAAACTCATTTCTCGTAAATCGTTCCCCTCAAAACTCAAAATATCCTCCACCACAATGATACATGACAGGTATCCACGAAAGGAAGAAGTCAACATAGCCGTAAAAACGGTGTTCTTTATCGGACCAGAAATATCGCCAAAGCATTTGGGTAGTGCAAAAACAGTTCCAGTTCTCAGCTCCGCAGCAAAGATATCTCCTTGAGAATCTATCATGAGAAGAATTTTTTCACCAACAGTCCGATTTCTCAGGTAATATCTTACTTTAGCAAAGTTATTTGCTGCATCTGCAAACACCATGCGTGTCAGAGGGATAGGGTCATAATTTACTGTCATCCATTTCCCAAACTCTTTGTGAACAGATTCAAATTGAATAAACGTCATCGGTCTTTTAATGTAAGCTGGTATTTGACCATAACAAGTATTACAAATATCTAAAGATTTGCCTTCATCCAATATTCCTTTAAGAGTGGCATTCAGATAACATGCGTTTCCTTCTTTATGAGGTACGTTCAATAGTATGCCTTCTTCGATAGTATCATCACTGAAAGAAACACCCAGAACACTAGTTGCTGTATCCTCACTCAAGTGCGCAATAAATTGAATTATATCCCAAACTGGAATAGGTTGAATTTCTTGGTCTGATATTTTGCAAATTTGAATGTCAATATGAACAACAAAAGTCCGATCCCAAAATGTGTTACTGTCTTTTAAAAACGATAAAAATAATTCCTCAAATTCAGCCAAAGACCCGGATGTTTCAGACACATTGAAAGGACTGAATAAGAGGGGAAACGTCTTATCACATTTTCCATCTGATAGTAACTTTTCCTTCGCCTTCTCCCCCACAGAGACCACTATACCCACTGGTATTCGTGGATTACATATAAAAGGTACAATAGCATTTACTTGCACAATTCGAAAAAAAGAAAACGGAAAGCTCCTTGTGTAATGCATCATTAACGCTTCAAATGATGAGCTACAAGGAGCAAGGGAAAGAAAAAAATAATGACAATACGTTCCCCCGTATCGCCCACCTGATACACTTCCATATGAGGCACTAGCGTAACCAAAAGATGTAACTCGAAAATCCTCACAAACGCACTCAAAAAAATCATCCCATGCAGCTCTCAGACGAAGAGCAATATCCGCACGACTTTCCCTTGGCATATCTATATGAATTAAAAAACCCGACGCTTCATTGAATGCGCTGATTGAAGCAATAGCACTCGTCAACGACAAAATAGAACGTGAAAGTAGAATAGCTGAAGAAGAATTTAACCTCCTTGCCGAAAACAAAACATTTTCCATACCATCAAAAAAAGAAGAAAGAAATAAGTGAAGAGGTTCCTCACCCAATCCACCCTGAATAGAGCTGCATAACCATCGCTTTGCCAACAGTGTGTGTAGATTATTAAATGTCGCCTCCGCCTGAGAAGTATCACACACGCTATGCGTAGGTAAAATTAAATGGTATCGGTAAATCGCACTTCGAGGTGTTACCACACGTTCCACAAAAGATTGAGGAACAAAAGCCTTCGCATTAATGTTTAGCATAATTCAAATATTTTCTCGTTTCCTTTTCCTTAGTACAGATATCTACAAATTATATTTCAATACCTCAAAATAAAAATTTAAAAAAAAACAGAAAAAAAACGGCAATAGAAACTCCCCATTTAAAACATATTTATTCGAAGAAACTTTAGAAACGAAGCCCACGCACAAATCCAAAACAAATGCAACGCACACATAGCCCACATTCTACACACTTGCATGATACAAATGCGGAAGGAACAACAAAACCATACCCACACAGCCACAAACAAACGAATGCATGAAACATACGCTACGATAACCCGGCCCCTTGTGAGGGCAGGAAGTGGCAGTCTTTGGGACCCGCAGCCGCAGCGCCCCTCTGCGCGAACGTGGTGAGAAGCAGGAAGAAGAGCAGAATCAAAGAAACGCACGCACCGACTCCCACCGCGGCGCTGTTGGAAACAAAAACAAACAAACAGTGAAGGAGCGGGGAAGTTGAACAGAGACCAACGAGGGCCCGCTTCGCCTCGCCAGGCTGCACATTTTCTCCAGAGGCTGCCAGAGAAAGAAAAAACAAACGGCAACACAAACCACACTTTCATGTGTAATATCTGCGCCGTTGGTCTAGTGGCATGATGGTACCCTCCCAAGGTATTGACCCGGGTTCGATTCCCGGACGGCGCACCTTTTTGCACAACAGAATGACAAGCTAACCAAAAGCAAAAAATAAATACACTCTCAATGGCGAGATGGTCGAGTGGTCTAAGACGTTGGATTAAGGTTCCAATCCTTCCGAGGGCGTGGGTTCAAACCCCACTCTCGTCATTTTTCGGAACGCCCCCCATACTCCTCCTCTTTCGGCGCCCGCGCGTGGCTGCTGGGCCGCGCATTTCTCCCCCATTTATTATATTACCACGGGGGGTAATGTGTATGCGGTTTACCTCTTGGGCGGCGTG